CCAGAAGGTAGGACTTGAGAGCCCTTCCTGAGAACCATCCACCAGATCCTCAGCACTCAAGACCGTTTTGCCGTTCTGAGAGAAATCTTTCCCTATGAGTTCAGGGTCCCCAGGGCTTTCCATGCCAAAGAAGACAGAACTTCCATTGATGACTTCAGCAGTTCCACACCTTGAATGCACCGCCACGTCATATAGGAAAAGCATCTTCAGAAGTAAAACACCATCCTTTTGGGCTAATTCTTGATGTGGCCAAGGAAGACTCTTTAATCCCAAACGCTCAGGCCCACAGCGCCGGCGCAATACAGGTGGACCACCGTCTTCACCTCTCAACCTTGACACTGTCCTGCATGGAGGTCCTCCAACCACAGCAACCACCTTTCCTTCAGCCGCCAGATGCAGAAGATACTTCCAGACGCTCGAATTATGTAGGTCACCACCTTTTGTCAAATCCAGCTCCAGTACCTCCACATCCCGACTGGGAAAATGCCATTTTTGTTTTCCCGAAAATAGGTGTACCACCACCCTTTTTGCTCGTGCCAGCCGTCTCCTTTTATGACGGTTGAAAGGCAACGCCGCAATATCTCCACGCGGCAACAGCTCCATCAGCATATTTTCTGGTATATCCCCATAATACCACCGAAGAAATCGCCAGCATGCCTGGACGAACTCCTCCTCATTCGCTGACGCTGTCCGCGCTGCGCTTTGCAACGACGTTTTTACAGCCACCTCGTTGTCCGTATTCGGACACCCTTGAACCATACGTGCCACCTTCAAAGCTTGCTTTGGGGAGCACCAATCCATTTCATCAATGATCTGAAGCGCCACCTCCTTTTCTAAACAAGGGCACCCATTCAGATCACGAACGCGAAGTTCCCCCAGAACAGGATGTGAGGCTGTGCACTTGCCACCACGCCACTGAACTCTGAGACCAACCAAGGCGCTCGCTTTGCCAATTGGCACTAGTGGATCTACCATTTCAGGAGTTACCAGGGTCCCACCTGGGGTAATACACATCTCCCGAGATCCAACAGCTAAAGACACCAACACCTTTTGCTGCGGAAGCTGTTCTCCAGGACGAAGTGATCTGAGAGGATGTGATGCTCCCGAGTCCAACATGCCCATTCCCGAACACTCATTGGTGTCAGAAACCCTGGCCACATGTAGAACGCATACTCCTCGGCCTTCTCCCTGCTTCGGCAACAACGTGGCATCCGACGAACCGACTCCACAGTCCGCCCTTCCATTCCTCCATTGAGAATGGGACCAAGATACACGCTGCCCTTCAGCATGCAAAACCATTTTTTCAGCTGTTTTGTAATCCATAACCAAACAGCCATGTTCAAACCACAAGAGCTGGTCCAGCGAAGATTTTGCCCCCCGATTCAGATCACGAACGCGAAGTTCCCCCAGAACAGGATGTGAGGCTGTGCACTTGCCACCACGCCACTGAACTCTGAGACCAACCAAGGCGCTCGCTTTGCCAATTGGCACTAGTGGATCTACCATTTCAGGAGTTACCAGGGTCCCACCTGGGGTAATACACATCTCCCGAGATCCAACAGCTAAAGACACCAACACCTTTTGCTGCGGAAGCTGTTCACCAGGACGAAGTGATCTGAGAGGATGTGATGCTCCCGAGTCCAACATGCCCATTCCCGAACACTCATTGGTGTCAGAAACCCTGGCCACATGTAGAACGCATACTCCTCGGCCTTCTCCCTGCTTCGGCAACAACGTGGCATCCGACGAACCGACTCCACAGTCCGCCCTTCCATTCCTCCATTGAGAATGGGACCAAGATACACGCTGCCTTTCAGCATGCAAAACCATTTTTTCAGCTGTTTTGTAATCCATAACCAAACAGCCATGTTCAAACCACAAGAGCTGGTCCAGCGAAGATTTTGCACCCACGTGACACATCCCATTGATCACAGTGAGGTTCGCCCCAAACTCCAAAATCAACCAGAGAGGGATAATCAGGGGCCCATTGTCTTCCCTAATCAACGTCCCTTTCTCTGTAATCCTCATTGTCACACCACCAAGCGCGCTTTGCACCATAACAGTAGTGTCTGGTAAACATTCCCATGGAAAAAGCGTCCGCACAAGATGCGTAGCAGCTGTATCCACCAACGCCACTCTCCCTTCCTGCTGAAGCAGCCCAGAGCCACATAACATTCGAATACTGGGATCCCCGTCTTGATGCCGACTGTTCTGATGACAGCTTCATAGATTTCAGCACCTCTAACGCTTCAACAAGGACCTGATTGGCCGTTGATGGCGATGAGGGACTTGCAGAACCTTTATCCAATCCCGCATTAGCCGTCTCATCTCCCCCTTCAGCTACCTCTGCCTTTTTGGCATTTCCCCATTTCGCACCTTTGCCGCCCTTTCCCCCTTTGGGAGAATTCCCTTTAGATCTACTCCTCTCAGGATTTGAGTCCACATTGGAACTTGCACCATCCTTATATGGACATTGCGGCTGCAGATGGCCAACGGCCCCACACTCAAAACATCTTCCTCGTTCAAGGGAGTCTTTGTCATGGCGAAATTTGCAGCGGGATCCGAACTTGCACCCCGCATCGGTCTTCCCATATATCCAACAGAAAGGACGTTCACCATCTCCGCTGTACCTTTTTCCTTTCCCTTTGCCTTTGTCACCCTCCTCTGTCTCGTCACCAGTTCCCTTTTGGGCCTTGTTTAACCTGGCCCTTTTCTTGGCGTCCGAGTCCTGCTTCACCTCTTGTTCACCAGCACTATGCAATAGCAGTTCAAACTCTGCCTGTAACATTTCAGCTAGTTTTGTCGCAGTTTCAGAGGTCGGCGAGTAGTCCACCCCCAATTTCTCCCGAAAGGATGCCACTCTGAAATGAACCGTAGGGTGTTTCGCCAGCAACGCGGATGACAAACCATCCAATCCCTTGATAAGCAAGGTAGCGTCCGGCTCAGCCGCTCTCAACTCCCTCAATCGGAAACGCCATTGCGCCCATTGACGCACTCCCTTTATGGCCTCTGAGATCGAGGTTGCTGGAGATGGTTGCACCAAGAAGTTCAACATTGTGCTGCGCTCATTTGCTCCACCTGGTTGGTAGACCGTCAGCAATTTGTAAAATATCATCACTGACCCCAACATTCGAGTGGAAACGATCTCGGTCTTCAATCTCTCCGGGATCGCCTGTAGCAGCAAAGACACCGCTCTCTGCTCCAACAAAACATGCACAGTTTGAACCACTTTGAGCCCTTCCAGCTCAGCCTTGATGCCCAACCTTTCCAGCGGAGAAACACTCAACCATTTGGCATACGCTTGATATGCCTTTGAGTAGACGCATTGCCACCACACTCTTCCTGTATCTGTCAGTGAAGACAACATTGGTTCGATCATTGCGATCCAATCACCCAGTGCCGTCGGATTGCTTGGTGTGTAGTCTGCCAAAGTTGGAAGGCTCATCACATGCTTCCCGAGAGCCTCCGGACGTTCGGTTCCAGAACTATCACCAGTGATTGGCATACCACGTGGCACCACTGCTCCAGGAGGTAAACTGACCCTACCACCAGGCCCTTGAGGTAGTCCATGTCCTATACCGGGCGCAACAGCTGTGAGCGGAACCTTTTCTAATTCCAACTTCCCAGCGACCATTTTCCACCGATACGGAACATCATCCACCATTGTATATCCACCCGATCCTGCTGAGTTCTCTTGCGTTGCAGTTTCCCGAGCTGAAACAAAACCGGGCTGGTTCCCCACAGGTGCGGCAGAACCATCAACACCTGACGGCACGGAAGTAATCGGAACATGTGTTAAACCAGGTGGTCCACTTGCATATCCACCACTTGCAGGACCTCCCGTGGGGTAATTCAATGGAGGCAATCTGGAGGGTTTCTTCCCTTCAGCTACATGCATCATTGGCACTTCTTTTTCATCCTCCACTTGAACATCCCCCTTCCTGGACCCAGGCAAGGATTGAAGATCACAACCCTTTGGCAGGTCGTAGCCCTCAATAGGCAGCCATGTCCCATCAGGCAACACAGTCCAAAAACCACCCATACCATCCGTGTAGAAAACTTGTCCTGGCAGGTACTGCTTCTCTGGAGTCATTCCTAGAGGATATGCCGTGTTTGCGTCCACCACTCCAGAGCTCCGTGCCCTTGAAGCTGACCCAGATGCAGCAGAGGTATAGCTTTTCTCCTCCACCCGATGCAACCTGTTCCCCAGCTCCTTTGTTTGCACAAGCAACTCTTTCAGCGCACGCTTCACCACCGCCATATCTTCAGTTTGCTCTTCACCACTAACATCAGGAATGAGTTCTTCGTCGGCTTGCACTCCACCAATAGTACCTCGTTCCATTTGGCCCATTAAGCCTGACGATGGTCTCTCAACAGGTGCAGGTTCCTGACCCAAAAGATCTTGCAGCGAAGGTGGCCTCCTCGTACCTTCACCACTTCTATCCCCTCCGCTCGCAGGAAGACTTGCCGGCCTTGATTGCCTAAGTCTCATTTCTTCTTGAGCCCGCTCGCTCCAGAAAGGATTTGCTGCTTGAACCGGAACCACTTCGTTTTCCACCTGAGGCGTTGGTTGTATCATTGCAACCTCCCTACCATCTGTCAGCGCTTGTACCATTTGTTGTCGATCTTCACCCCCACCACCACGATTTCCTTCGGCTTCATTGGCCGTTGGCGACAGTCCAGGCTCAGAGCGACGCCGCATCATGTCCATGGCGTTAAACAAACGAAAAATCTTTACCAATTCCGCAGGAAGCCTAATTTGGGCTCATAACCTACGGGGGGCAACCGAAGGAGGACAGGGAACAAAACAGTCAGCCCCAACAGAAGCCCTTGATTCCCCTGGAACAACCGAAGACAAAACCCAAAGCACAACCAAACACACCTTTTCCGTAGGGCGCATTGCCCACGTTTCTTGAGCCAAAAATATCCGGGTTCATTGACCCCTTCAACTCCCATCACCAACTCTTTTCTACAATACCAGTTGCAGCTCCGCATAGGGTTTAGGGTTGAGAACCGAAGCAACTGAGCTGACGGGCGGGGCCTCCGCTGCCCTCCGTCTCCACGCAGTGCACTCCGAAGAACTCCAAACCTCAACTCGGAAGGATCCCAGGGCAGACCAGCACCTTCTGATGAAGTGAGCTGGCTGCTTATATTCGTTGCAAAGGGGGTTTAGGGTTTAGGGCTTAGGGGTTAGGGTTTAGGATCATCAAACTAAGAAATATCACAATGTCAAGTTGCCTACTCAGTTGTGCAACATCCGCGCCCCGATTGCTGGGGGTGCCACCGCTGGTCGTCAAGGTGCCCGTCTTGTCGAAGCAGGCGACACGAACCTGCGGGCGGGGGAGCGGCGTGCACGCTGTCGAAACTTTGTTTCGTCTCTCAAGAACGCCGAACGCCTTTGACAAATGATGCAGACAGAAAGTTATGAAACACAGGTGCCAACCGTACGTCACTTCTGGAACTGACAAACGATGCACGACCTACATGGTTCTTCCGAAGGGAGGGCATAATTCGCACAAGGCGGTGTGCAATTCCACTGCCCAATCTTCTGGCAAAATGGCACTCCGAACATTTCTCCAAACAGGCAGTGGGTCAATTTGTCGAGCACCGTGGAGACCGTGCAACCCTGTCCTGGATCCGACCATGGGGATTTCGGGGTTGTACAATGTTGTACCCGTTTGTGGGACGCACCCATATGCCTATGCGGAGAAACGAAGCCTTACATGACAAACTCCAGCTAGCACAGGGCCTTCCCCGCCAAAGCGATCCGCTTGGGCACCACGCAGAAGATGCTGCAACTCTTCTCCTGCCAAACGAAATTTATGGGCCCCACATACTCATGGTTGTTTCAGGGGTCTGCTGTGGCTGGCGCGTGGGACCCGGGGGGCTGCACCCCACATCCGACCAGGGACGGTAAAAAGCCCAATGCAGTAGCTTGGACAGCAGGGAAAGAGAAGCCAAGGGCTTGCTACATGCTGCCAATTCCAGAGCCGTCTGCTCCTTCAGCCGCTTTGCTGAAATCACCTGCCGGGCTGAGGGATGCTTCGGGCTTACATGCTTCTTGCTGGAGCAAACCACGCCACCACGAAGATTGCAATTTCTACTCCTTTGTTGACCTTCGTGACCATTATGACCATTCTTACTATTACTCCGATTATTCCTATTCCTTGCTCTTCCTCATTTTCCCTTGTTATTCCTTCTTATTCCTATTTGTCCAATCAGTCCTAGTCCTAGTAGTCCCATTGACCCTATTCGAACTATAATTCCAACTATTCCTACCATTTCTACTATTCCTACTATTCCTACTACTCCTCCTATTTCTACTATTCCTCCTATTCCTACTATTCCTACTATTCCTACTACTCATACTACTCCTATTTTTGCTACAGCATTTATTGAGACCTCTACAAACTCTTACGACTATGATGAATTTATTAGCATCAAGGTGCCATTAGCAATACTAAGCAAGAGGAACGCTACAATCCCCACTCTGCCTGGCCCACGGACAGCACGATGTGCAGCATCGTAGGTAGTACGCAGGAGCAGGTGAAGACCCCGCTGGCCCAGGTGGCCGTGAGGGGCAGCTTCCTTTGTAGAGATGCGGTAGTAGCTCTCTAAGTTCGGGTCCATGTTTTTAAGGTCCCCCTAGATAGTACGGCACTCTTAAAATCAGGACCCCAATTCAGGCAAGTGTATGAGGGTTCGGTGCTCAAGTCTCAGCATCGAACCCTGCCGTCCTTAGCCATGTCCGCCCTGAACGCTCTTGCGTCCGCCGAGGAGCTGCTGCACCGCGTAGCGGACGTACATGACTCTCATCAGCTTGACCACAAGGGCAAAAGCGTAGATGATGAGCAAGAAAAAGACAACCTCAGGTCGCGCAAGCTCCTGCTTGAGTGCCCTGCGTGCCCTCCAAGATCGCTCGGCTGCTTGCCAAGCGACGCTCAGCTGCTCATCGTACTTGAACACCAATTTTGGCGGGTACAAGATCAACAGGAGCAGCTGCCCTTTCCTCGGAACAGAGCTGACAAAAGCCGGAACAAGTATGACAGTATGACGAATGAAACCGCGGGTTCCGTCGTAGTCGTACTCATACCACTGACAACTGTGTACTGCAGCAGCTGCGACATGCTTTGCCAGGAGTCTGAGTGTGAATGCCCGTATGGGTTGCCAGAGCCCATGTCTCGTTGTCGACAACCTGGAGCACAGACGTGCCTGCCTCAGTCACGATGTGCACGGGGCGCGCACGCTCTTGCACTGGCAGTGTCTTCACAACTTCGCAGCCTCCCCAGTCGACCAGCTAGTAGATTCGATCATGAGCCGCTGATTTGGCTTTTCTTGGCCTTCTGCTGCTCAGGCAAAAAAAAAACCTTCACATTTCTGCGCAACCTGTATCCAAGATCCGCTTGGGAGCAAGAACGCATCATAGAAATGTTGAGCCCACCCCCTCACCATTTCTCCAAAAACTCTCACACCTCGATTGTCCTTGTCATTGATGGTATTCATATTGGTATTATGAAAACTGCGTGCCACCACTACTCCTACTGCTGCTCTCACTCCTGCTATTGTTGCTCTGAGCCCCCCTTCAGCCCCCTTAATGAAAAACTGGGCCCAAGGCCACCAAGGAGTGCTTGGCGGCAAAGCGGAACCCGGGCCTGGGCCGGTGAGCAGGCACGTTTTGAGGGTTTGAGGGTTTTGGGTTTCAGAGGCTTTCAACAAACCCTCAACCCCAGGCTCGGTAGGGGTTTCGCGGCCCAAGGTTTGCGGTTTAGGCTTGGGGTTTGGGGTCCTCCGTCTCCGACCTGTCAGCCTCGCACCAGCCGGCCTTCCTGCACCTTCACGCCTGTCAGAAGCCGTTCACGACTTTGGGTTTGGTTGGAGTGTGTCTACTTTTTCGGCCAAGTGACGGGTCATCTGGCAACTTCTCTACCTCAGAACAACTGAGAAAATGCAGCAGCTAGCACTTCGCCCTGACAAACCAATCCTCAGAAGAGCGTGCCAACCTGCTGCTTTCATGTGCTCGGCAAATTAGGCGCATGAGTTGTTTCCCCCCATCCTCCCGCCAGGATCCATGGCTTAGAGGGCCTGTAGTTGTTATGAGAAGGCAATGTAACATGCACGTAAGACTTTTAGTTCTGGAACCAGCATCTCGCTGAGGTCCCGGTCACCGAAAATGAAGCCAGAGCAATAAAGTTTAATGTAGTGTTGAGATCGTGGCAACCGAGAGTACTGTGAGCAGATAGCCTCAAAGCGTTGTACTGGGCATATTACGTTTCAAAAGTGTGGTGACAGGAAGGGGCATGTGACAAATCTGGCAGGTGAGAACACCAGTAAGGACTAAGTCAATCATTGCCATGTGGTGTTGCCAGAAACACAATGCTGCGACACTCGGTGAAGATGCGTGTGCATGCATACAGAAGAACAGAAACAATTGCATGCACAGCTTTCGAGCCGTGTCAGGCGTTGGCTCTGGCGTGCCCTTTCAACAGTTCAACATCTCCTTTGAGACTGAGTTAACTAAGTTTACAACCGAGTTGTAGATGTTCGTCATTTTTGTATAGGACGACAGGTCAGACATGGTGTAGACGATATTCCCGTTGGACGACCGGCGAGATGTCGCTACTGCTTCCCTAAGCCCAAAGCAGATCAAATCAGTGTGTAATTATGCGATTCTTACTCTTACGATACTATTCTTGAGACGTTAATAGCCTTGCGATTTTTCCACAGGGTCTTATGATTAATCAGCTTCATTTCTTTTATTCTCAGTCTGATCCGGGGAGCCGGTGCCAAGCGCTGCACAGGCATGGACTCGCCCGTCAGTGTCGACTCGTCGCAGACCGCCGCCCCGCGGAGCAAGAGCAGGTCGCAAGGGACCTAGGCGTTAAGTCTGACATACCATTTCTGTGCTTTATCTTCCATTGTGTCCCATGATTTCAAAGATATTGATATAACACATTATGTGTTCATGTCTATTTGTTAATATATCATGTATATGTATAGATATATATATATATATATATATATATATACGTATATGTATATATACGTGTATATATATATACATATACAAAAACATATACATATACATATGCATATGCATATGCATATGCATATGCATATGCATATACATATAATTACATATACATATACATATACATATACACATACACATACACATACATATACATATGTATATTGTACATACATACATGCATCTATGCAACTACAGTGAAATTGGCTTGGGGGCGAGCGCCCCCAGATCTTATCTTGATGAGCACGTTGATCCAAATCACCAGACGCTTTGCTGCAGCAGCGAAAGGCTACAGCAAAGAGAGGCTACTATGAGCATACGCTGCTAAAAGCTAAACCCTAAACCTTAAACCCCAAACCCTGAACCGGCCTAAACCCATCAAGGCAACCAGGACAGAGCTGACGGGCCCCCATCGCGCGCAGGGCCGAAAACTCAGCGCGGCGCTGGACCAGGCTGCACCTTGACGATGTCACCAGGCACAAGCTCGTTGGCGTCAATCTGCAAATGTCAGGGTTTAGGGCTTAGGGTTTAGGGTTTGGGGTCAGCCGGGGCTTCAGGGTTTAGGGATTGCAGAGGTCTCTCTAAGGGGTTCAGGGTTTGGCAGGTTTTCGACGGTTGTTGCTGTTGCTGTTTAAGGTTACAAAAGTAGAAGGCTTAAGTTTAACGTAGCCTTCCCTGGCCTACACATCCTACATTTGGCGACAGCCAGACCTCAACGACCTGGCCATCTCGAAGCACGTGGGCCGTCAGCTGCTGCTCCTTGGCTGGGCTTTTTCGGCGTGGGGTTTACCAGGGCTAGGATGGGCTCAGGGTGGAGGGTTGTGAACCCAAAAGGCATCTTGCTCTGGGGCGCAGACAGCATATCTAACTGATGCCAAAACCAAGACTCCATCATGGATTTGATGGACTGCTGACTTGCCAGTCTCACAGAGGTGTTGAAAAAACCAGAGATGATAGCAATGGTCATGGCAATGATTGTGTAGTGCCAGTAGGAGAACCACACCTGAGTCCATCTGAGTACCAGAGGCAAAGTCGGAAGAGTCCCACAGCTCGCACTCGCAGCCAGGGCGCGCAGACGGCGTAGATGGAAAACTGGTACAAGAAGAAGAGCGTGCTGAACTCCTCAGTGAGAGCCTGTGACCAAGAGTCCACTTCAAAGGGAATCTGGTTCGGCCCGGCGCTCCTGCACCAGCGAAGGCAGCGAAGGGTGGAGAAGCGTAGGGTCTACACCAGGGTTTCCCTGATGCCCCCCCTTCTACCCGAAGAGACCCGACTCCAAGATCTCTTCCGCAGCCCCCTCCTGTACATCTCATCCACGGACTTGAAGCCTTGGGGCGAGGGGCTCTTCGTCCTGATGCGGAACGGTCTGGTGTCGCTGGTGGACCCATGCACGACATGATCGAAATCCCTCAACTCCTGCCTCAGGCCACCTTCTGCTAGCAGTGTGTCGAAGGCCGCATGACCTTTCCGCAGACCTCACGATGTACTAGGGCGGCGCTTTACGTTCCCTTCCCTTGATCAAACAAGGGCGTCGAAAAGAGGCAAGCAGAATTGACCTTCAGCCCAGCTGCTGGTGCTGGGATCATGCTGCACAAAGCCGTCGCCGTCAGAATCCTTGGTACAGGACACACAATTCGAAAGTTTATTCGCCAGCCTGAGTTTCGGCATGCGCAAGATGGCGCAAGTTGTTCGTAGCATACTCACTTCACGATCTTTGGAAAGAAGCATAATTCGTGAAGGTTATGAGGAGTGTGCGAGAGCGTCCGTGCTGGTGACACAATGTGACACATGCCTGAGACGTCTTGGATGTCTCGGGTACCGGCGTACACGTATCTTTGGCAGCGAAACCTTGTCACAGAAGCTCGTCAGTACGGAAACAACAACACAAGCGTTAGCCAACATAGCGCCTGATGGACGACACTACTGCCAGTAGGACACAGGTTCAGAATGGGTGATGCTTGATCAAAGAGAACCAGACGCGAGTGAAGTGCTGCAAAGCAATGTGCCGAGAGGCTCCACGTACCAGAGCTTGCTGGTGTGGTCGTACTTCAGCGGGATGGTCTGCGAGGACGCGCCGGACAGCGACAAGAATCCGCCGGGCAGGTCCTGCCATGCAGTGTGCATATCATACACATTATGTGCATATGCTACGCAGAACTGCCAAATATCATGGGAGCGGCCTTGCCACGAAAGACCTTCGCCACCAAGCCCAGAGCCTTTCACTCTCCAATGCTCTGTACAGCTGACACTGCGGTTTAAGGCTTAGGTTTTCGGGTTTAGAGTTACGACGCACACGATTAAGACGTCCCTGCCTTCTTGCGAAGGGCCAGTGTCCGCGAATAGCCACTGCTAATGGTCTCCTGATCCCATGTGCGCCCGACGCGGCACATGTCTTCTTGAGCTCTCAACATAACTCGGTACTTGTATCAGTCTTCAGCAGGAAGAATAACAGCAAGGTTACCCCGATCAACGACATCCAAGCCTGTTCCAATTGCGTTTTTACGTGATCCTCTTTCACGGCTAATGCACGGGCCCACTGCTTGAAACCGGACGGGATAGGCCTGCCGTTCCTGCACAGACACGCAGATGACAGCAGCCTTCCAGGCCAGTCGGGAGACATTTCTTGAGGCATTGATATCCTAACCAGAAGAACCATAAAAATTCCCACCATCCAGGCCGGGGGTTCTCAAATACTGTTTATACGCGTTGCAGCAACTCTGTCCTGCCTTGCGGAAGGGAGCTCTCAAGCCAAACTGCTTGACCATCTGCCCTCCCGTGTTGACAATGAGGAAGAAGAACCAGGTAACGCCCAGGCACCAGAGTATCAAGAACCTTACTCTTCCACACTCAAGCCACATCCTCTCCAACAGCTCAAGGGCTGCCAGATGACACATAGGAGTTGGCGTCAAAACTCCCAAAGATCGGAAATGTGCCTCAGCTGACGAGCAGCTAGTAGAACCACCACCCAGCAACTAGCAACCGGAAAATACTTTGGTGATGCTCCTTCCTCAGTCACAATGGTATCCAAGGTGTGACGATGCGGATCACTCCAAGCATCTCCAAACCGATCACTGTGCGGCCACGGCCACCGATGAAACACAGATGGTCTGGCCAGCTCCATTCGCAATCTTAGCGATTGCAGCAGAAGGCCAGAAAATGGCAGAATATGGCAGAATCATCGCAGTGTCACGTGCTCTTGCACCGATGTGCGCTCCACTAAGCTCACGAAGCTGGCTGTCGTTGTTGCTATGCAGGCACACAAGCAACAGCAGCAAGATTGGCACTGGTTCGAACCAAGGGCACCCCAGTAGTAATCCGCCACTACGATGACCTGCAAAATTTGGCATGGAGTCACCGCTGGCATGATGGAGTCATCAATGAGCGCACTTGAAGACATGCCACGCTGTCAAAAACGCATCATAGCAAGGCACAAAAAGGATGGTGATGAGCGCGGTGGTCATCGGCACCAGCATTGACACGACCCGCCCAAGGCGAGAATGCTTGTAACCCTCGAACTCGATGACCTCAAGGAGAGCGACTTGCTAAATCCGGGTCCCCCCCTCCCCGTCCCCGCAGTGTGTTCAAGGGCCACAGGTGGGCCCCTGGGGGATCCTGTAGAAACCCTCGCTCACGCAGAAAACGTCAGTGTCAAGGACAACACCAACCCTGTCCTACTCCACAACCCCTCCCGAAACACTGAAATCAGTCAACCTTGGTGGGATGGGAATTGGTGGCTAGAGGCCCCCACACCCAAGGAGCGAAGCATGCTAATTCCTTAACCTTAAATTAAACCTTAAGGGTTAAGGGTTTAGAGCTTAGGGCTTAGGGTTTAGGTAACCGGGTTTAGAGCTTAGGGCTCAGGGTTTAAGTAATTTAGGGGCTCAGGGCATATATCCCACAGCCGGGCGGCTCTATTCTGCGAGTCTGTCACGCACTGTCGGCACGCATCCTTGCAGGGCCCTAGTGCCTCTGATCAAAACTAACAGAAAGCCAGGGGTGGCCCACGAGAGTTCAGCTGACTCTGAGAGAACTTCTCTACTACTCCTACACCCTAAGCATCCCTAAGCCCTACGCCCTAAACATCCCGAAACCCTCGAGACCCTAAACCTCCCATCCCATCTCCAGATAAGGGGGTCCGTCCTGTCTCGGCTTGTCGGACTTGGGAGTGCCATTCACCGGGCGCGAGGCAGACGCACCTGATCTTCGGCGGCTACACGGGGGGTATCTTGGCTTTTACGAAAATAGGGGGCCCTTTTGGGGAGTTCCTATGTCCTACAAGGGTTCTAGCATGTTGGGGTTTAGGGGGGTATTTTGGGGTGTCTACGAAGAGAGGGGTTCCCTTTTTGGGGGGGTTCCTATAAGAAGGATTTATAGTAATTTTGGGAAGGGGGGGGGGGGCATATTAAGGGTACCCTATTTTGGAAAAATACCCAATCTAGGGGTGGATTTCAGGCAGGGATCCTACACCTAAAGCTCGTCGGGCAGTTACAACGACACGACAGAGATAAAAACATGTTGGATTCGAGGTAAGGCCCCTTGTTGGGAGACACCCATGTATGGGGGCCAAACATGGCGAAGCGATCGAGTACATCCCGAACCATCTAGCGTTTGCTTGTGTATCTTGTGTTGCTGACTAAACTTGCCTCTAAAGTTACTGCCAGTGATGATGGTTCCTCCTGCTCGCAGGAAGTCATCTTCCTTTCTGCCTCATGGCCGCCGAGGGCTTGCCACTTTCTGCGCATCGCTGAGCCTCTGGCTCAGTGTAAGAGCATTCCTGAGCGGGAGCAGGTGCACGGCACACGCGCAAACAACTGCTGACCTTTTGCTTCCTTGGGCAGATCCAAATGCAGTCCCAGGCTCCGAACCGAACGTCGGATGCACCAGAAGATATACAGCGACACGGCAGCTGCGGCGTAGCCTCCAGGATGGTTGGATTCTTGGAGCTTCCCGGGCAGAAGCCCCTTCCCCCCAAGATGTGAACGTATTTTGAGAGAAGCTACATACCTGCAGGTCCAGGTTTTCGGGGGTGGGTCCTACTACGTTTCTTCGGAGGGCTCAGTGATGTTGAGGACGGACTCCTAAAGCCCAAACCTGTGCCAAGGCGCCATAAACCAAGAGGCAGGGCGTTTCCCTGAAGCTCACGATCAGGCCCAGATGTGCGTTTTCGTCCTCGAGATGCCCAGAAACAAGCTAGGGAGACCCCAAAACACGGGTGTTCAAAAACTACCGATTCTGCCGCCACGCAGCTGACATGTCAGGGGGAACTTAGGGATAGGGACTTAGACTAAGGGACATGCCCCCACATAGCAGGGCGCAAGGGCGTGAACTGCTTGGTCGAAGAGACTTCGACCCCGCAACTTTTGCAGACAAGTCTCTTTCAAACCTGAGGACATCGCTGTTTCTGGCTGCACGGCCAGGCCACCAAGAGTTAAATCGATCAAAAGTGTATTACTAGCTGTATATGCTGCCACCTGCGCAAGACAAAGTCATCAGGCACGTGGCTACAAACTCGCCTGCTCCATCTGCTATGCAGTGGCACCAGAAAGTGCGATTTAATCTTGCAATGTTTTCGCCTGCTGTTGCCATGCTGCATTCTGCTAATACATGGCACTACCACTCGGAATTCAAAGACAGGCTTGCCATGCCTCATGCCGGTTTAAGATGCAAAAGCTGCAGAGTTCGCTTGCCCTCTAGCAACAGCAAGCAAAGGCTCCAAGCAGTATTCGTCAGCTTCAAGTCAACAGGTGGGTGGATCTTACTGGCGGGTATCACAGGGGTCAGCTCAATCCGCATGGCAACTGCCCACCCGGTCAGTTCACATGGCCTGGACAATGGTGGGTTGATGGAAACCACAGCCCTCACTGTCAGTGCTGGTCTGCAGGAAGGCAATGAGCCCTCCAGGGAAGCCCTTGCCTTGGATCCACAAAAAACGGCCTCGGTCGACCTATCGCTAAGGGTTTCAACTCATGCGACAACTCAGGCAGCAACGCTCCTTCACCTGTGGCAGGCATCTTATCACTCCAACCGGGATTCAAGTCTCAAGACGGCGGCTCTTGCATCCTTCAGCCCTGCATCCTAAGGGCCTACCCACCGTGTTCCTCAAGGTTTCGGTGCTCAGGGTTTAGGAAGTCTGGGAAGTTTAGGGTCGTGATTTGTGTTGGCTCCTGAGGCCCTTGGCCTTGTCCCAGGTGTCCCATGGATCGATCGTCCCTGTGATCTCCGTGTTCCAAGCATCCCAGATGCGAACCTGGGCAGGTCTTCGTAGTCATTGGAGAAAGAATGGAGAAAGACGATATTCCGTCTGTCACTTCTTGAGCAGGTGCCCTGCTTCCTTGCGAACCAGAAAATGGCTTTCGCGCAACTCTCAGAATCACGGCGTCCCTTGCTGGGCGTAGTGGCTACACTGTTGCGCGTGCAAAGGACTAGGCCGCGAACGATGTCATCATCAGCCATGCTGTATTTGCTAAACTAATGGTAAACTAGATCTAGCAGCTGTGGCACTTTCCAGAGTACGTCTCAGTCTGCGGAAGAGACCATCGGGCCATTGAGAATTGACATGTCCCTTGCAGGGGCAGTTCTGCTTGCGGCTGAACTGAGCTGCACTCCTCCCCTGAAGCCAACTCAAGGATACGGGATACCATGATATACCATGAGCTACCATGATGTACCATCACGGTGTTCGGCTTCTGCTGGCTGCGAGATGCTAAGACTGTCGCAGAAGCTAGCTATGCCGGCTGAATCTTCGATTTTGCTGCCAAATCGGGCAAACTCCGCAAGGGTGAAACAGCAAGTCATGGGACAGGGACGTCTGGGACTAGGTGCTCCTCGATCCTTCCCACCTGCTTCGCAGACTTCATGTGCAAAGATGTGCAAAGCACATAGCCGAGGATCATCGTGGGATGTTTCTGGTAGCCCAGGTCAGTCGTGGTCCAGCTTGATGGTCATGGAAGCCTTCCCCTCGGGGGCGTGCGGATCGGTACGTACCTGCGGCCCACACAGGGACCAGACCAAAGTCTCAGTTCCCACCCGCTGCACCCCGGCACACCCAGGTACTCTCAGCCAGCAGCCGCTTGTCCACCTGCACATGGCAACGGAGATGCTAGGACCACCTAGGACCGGGGGCGCCTCCCTTGCTTGCTCCGCCTGCCGCTCGCAGGCCGGACGCTGAAGAAGGGGCAAGTGCCTGCGACAGCACTCTCCCGTCCAGAAGGGCATGGCCACACTGGGCGTGCACTTCCACTTCCCCATATTGAAGCCATGGACCGACCAAAATCAAACAACTGCAAGGCAGAAGAGCCTGCAGGGCTCCGACCACAGGCGGCCCTCGGCACTTCCAAGGTTTCAAGGCCAACATCTCAGGAACTCCACAAAAGGCAGCCAGGGAAGGCGCGCGCTGCCGCTTGAAGTGAAGCTTATGCTCACCTCGTCAGAAGCAAGGAGGGCGTGTCGGAAGCAATGTGAAGCAATGCGCAGCAGCTTCTGGGTCTCATGCTGAGCAGACTTGTCCTGCAATCACGGCAGACAAGCATCTGCCCATGCACGCCGAGGTGACACATTTCTACCCAACGTCACACGCGTCACATGCACCTCTGCTGCATGGAAGTCAGCTGCAACATCGATCCTGGTCTGAATGGCCTGCAGTGTGACTTGCGCCGTGTCCAGAAATGTCCAGCATCCCGCGAGGCCAGTTCCCTCAAGGCCCTCAAGCCCAGGTCTCAGCAATCCTGAGTAAAGGCATGTAAAAGCCCAGGCCTGGGAGGCGCGGCTTCTTCCTGGACCTCGGTACGGCAATGCCGAAAAAACAACACCGAAACAACCAGGCCATATACGCCCGCCATCCGAGACCCCAGCGGCCCCACTTGCCAGTCGCAGGAGGCCTCGCGCAGACTCTTCCAATGAGGGCTCCGTGTGCTCTCTGCGTGGGCTTTCTGTGCGCTCTTCGGGATGCTCTCCGCGTGCTCCCAGGATGCTCCCAGGATGCTCCCAAGGATGCTCCCGAGGATGCTCCCCGAGGATGCTCCCCGAGGCTCTGGCCCAGGAACAGGATCCAGAACTTCATTCTTGGGGCCTTTTCGGGCCCTTGGCCCATAGCCTGGCTACTGTGACATTGAGCCACAGTGCGGCACGGCAGCATTCTGGCTCAAGTGAAGCAGGTTGCAGCACTCACTTCTGATACTCACTGCGCGTCCGGCCGGCACTCAGACAGTGTTTCCGGCACCACCGGAGGGGACGGTGCAAGCAGGAGGCCTCTCACCGCCTCACTGCCTCGCGTGCTGCAAGGTAGGGAGCAGCTTGCTCGTCTTGGTCTTCATCTCCTCGCCTTCTCGCATTGAAGGCTTGAGATGAGACGTGGAGGGGGAAACAATCACCGCCTTTGCACTTTTGACCCACTTGTTCGCGGGTGTCTCTTACTCCTTTGGGAAACTTGCAGCCAAAAGGGGATTGACCGGGTTTCCTCATGGCTGAACGCTTCAGCCGCGGTGAGGTCAGGTGTAGTAGGCAGGTCTCTGCCGGCCCCTTTGGAAGATGCACCGACATCCCACAACCCCAAGTCTACAGACGAGTCTACCCATATATCAACTCAGGGGCCTGGCTTCCTCGAAAACGAGAGATTTGCCGGCTGGAATGGAAAAAAGTGGGTTTGGATTTCAGTGATCAGTGATTTCAGAGTCAGGCCCTGATCGGTGCAAGGCGGCTGCCCATCAAAAGCAGGGGCCTACAGATGACAAAAGATGCCTACGACTCGGTCACATACTCTGACTATAAGCTTGCGGGGCGTATGGGCTTCGCAGCTTTACAGCACCATACAGCGCCTGATCTGAGTTACTGGATCATACTGGATCATATGACGCCCATGGAGGTCACTCACGTACATCTCCAGTTGCTGCGGTCAACCACTTTGACTGCGCAAAATCCCTTCCTTGCCTTGCGAAACGGCCCGCGAACGCTCCCGACAGACCGCCGAGCGGTGTTGAGCTCGGCACTGGTCGGGATGGCAAGAGCCCGCAAGGAGCCTCTATGAGCCTCTACTCAGAAGTTGAAGGCGCCGGCTCACGGTTTCGGATGCGGCGCGCCACCCAGCCTTGCTGGGGGACTTGGCCTCCAGGACTCACATCCAGGAGCCAAACATGACACTCCCTTATCAGAGTGCTTGTAGGACAGTCGTAGTGGCAAGGTCAAGCCCTATGCACTTATGCAACTGCTGACTGGCATTGACTGGCTGATCTTTACGTCGCCAGCATCAACGGTGGAAAACAAGCCTTCTGCCCAGATCGGGGCAAGCGTCCAGCAGCAGAGGATCCACGCACATCGTTCATCACATGGCCCGACTGGACAGGGGCATCCAGCTGGAGGAGAACAGAGGGCGCATGCACCCAAAAGGCAAGACGAGTGCCCCTCGCACCCGCTTCACACCTCCTATCCCAAGAGCCTAAACCCTAAACGGATGACCCCTGAGCTTCCCAGACCTCTGCCTGTTGGGTTGCAGACAGCCTCTCCCTCCGAAAAAAACAAAAGTCCAATTGGCAGGGCAAACTGACTCCAGCACTTCCGTCTACAGCCAGGCTCCGGAAAACAACCTCGAAAGCTTAATCTGAGGAAGAATGGAGAAGTAGTAACAATGGTTTACAGCACTGCGGCGTCCCCAGATTACTTCTCAAAGGACCGCTTGTCTGACACATCGCAATTTGAGATCTGCCAGAGGGCCGTTGCAAAATCCTTCGGTGAGCCACTGGACACTGAACCGAAAACACCCTGCGCGCCCTATGGCCCGCACTACTCGCCCGAAACCTCTGAAACCCCCCCCGATGTCTTCAGAAATTGTCTCAGCTCTCCCTCCACGGTCCCAGGCACACTTGTGAAGGGGTGGGATGGCTCCTGACATAAAAGAAGGATCAGATGGCTCTGGGGATCTTTGTTCGGTCTTGCAGATGTCGTCGCCTGGAGCCAGCCCCCGGAGAAGAGATGTCCGTGCTGCGTTGGCAGCAGGACCAAAGATCTCGGAAGTCTGTTGCAGCCACGGAAAAAGGATGAACTAGAATGAACACCGAGCCAGGGGTCTCCACAGATGACCACTTTACACGGCTGCAAGCATCCGGCGCTCATAGCCAACTACCAGGAGGTGGGGCGCGAGCCGAAAACGAATTATTCATACAATCGATACAATCAATTTGCAGAAAGTGCCTCAGTTCGGCCACCTGGGCTGGGCAAGGCATTCGTCCCCATCCAGAAGGGTCACCTCTAAAATCGAGCTGAAACACGATCTTCAGCGCAGCATTTCACAGCATCCCCAACCTGACTGAGACTGAGATAGACTGAGATTGCCAGGCTCAGGCAGGGACTTGTCTATCTGGTGGACGAAAACTTCACTGGAGACGCTCTCCGTCTCCTGCACCAGCAGGGCTTCCAGCAATAACTCATCAATGGTTTCGGCTGCGTCACATGTAATGGGACTCGCCGGTTCTCGCCTGTGCCGTCACGAAGCCAGCCTTTTTCCTGCCGAAGGAGACTCGAAGCATCAACCGCTGCAGCATGTTGCTTGAGGTTAGGTGCGAAGCTCCCTCGAGGGAGTTGCAGTCCTCTTTATGAGCTTCATCTTTCGCGTCTGGGCGTCATCGAGCGTGCAAACCTGCTGTCAACACAGCTGGCGGACCCAAGCCCAGAGCCCCTCCCAGGTGAGAGCTTTGGGTTTCTTGGGCTTAGTATTCGCAGGGTTCAACCCTAAACCCCAAACCCTAAACCCTAAACCCTAAACCACTGGCGTTCATGGGGGTGTCGAAGCTCTCTTTGGTTGCGGGACCTCCGCGATCTTCACTCGCAGCTCCGAAACCTTTGTGTTGGACATGAGGTCCACCTTGAACCTGGAGAATTTGAGGGAGGGGAAGGCTGGGGGGGGCCTTTACCTATAAGCCTTACCGAAAAACCTACCAAAACCCCTGCAGAAAAAAAAAATAAAAGCTGGTTCACTCAGAAGGTTTTGGGCTTCGGGAAGCTCTCGGAGGTTTCAAGGGCTTTCGAAGCACGGATCCCTGCATTTGAGGGCCTCTGCGGCGTCGGGTCCTCCCAAGTGCTGAACCTGCTCAAGAGAATCGTTCGCCAAAACAAGAACAGACTTCGGCAAGACTTATAAGAATGGTGTCTAAATAACCAAGAACCACAAATTTGCAAACTATATCCAAGGCTTCGGTAGAGTCTTGGGCCCTTTCTTCCAAAGACTCCGAGACATGAATCCTTCTACCTGAATGAAGGCCTTTTGATTCCGCAGACAACCGCTGTATACCGCTGTCACCATCAATAGAGAACATGGGCTGCCAGAGGAGAGACAACACGGGCAAACGCACCTGGTGAGTGTCACCGTCAGGGCCTGCGGAGGCCTAAGACTCACTTGGCCAACACTACGCAGGCGCCATGTGCAGAGATGCCCAAACAGGCTTCATTTCGAATATTCGCGAGGAATTCGAATCGGCCCTCGGCCGAGAATCGCCTAGAGCAGACCAGAATTGGGTCTCCTTCCCCCCTTCCTTTCCTTCCGGCCCACTTTGGGACCTGCCCGAACCGCGTGCAGGAGCCGCAATCCGATGTCCCGGCCACCCGACACCCCATGAAGCCCTCCTACCTCCTGAACTCATGACGTGTGTGGCGCTGCACCAAGCGACATTGGCTTTCCTGCGTCTGCGATGCACACACGACACCCCGCGTTGGGCCGGCCCGGCAAGCGTTTACAACTATGATTGCTACTAATGTATCCGCCGAGGCCTCGGGCCGAAGGTGTATAGGTTGTGAGAACAGGCACCCCCCTCCAAATCCTGCCCCCGAAAGCCACACGTCGGCCGCCTTTTGGGATGGGTACCCCCGTAGGCGACCACGATCTGAAAGCGGACGGTTCGCCAGTCCCCACCCCCCCCTGCCCCCCCCCCCCTCCTTTTGCTTTTCGCCAAACCGTGAAGCGTGAGCCCCCAGAGCCCGCAACCCTAAACATAAACCCGGCACCCTAAACCCTAAACCCAACCCTCAGTGCTTGGGGTGCAGCGACTTGGGCGCTGGGGAATCACCATGCTCACGCGGATGCGCTGGGCCGGGCCGAGGCGGGTCGCGTAGCGTTAAAATTAACACGATTGATCATGTCTCTTCAAGCGGCTCGCATCAGAACGCTTCAGCAACTGAGCTGCAAGCTTCTCTTCCTTCGGCTTCGGCTTTGGCTTTGGAGCCTCCTTCTTCTCCACTGGCTTCTTCTCCGCCTCCTTCTCAGCCTAGTTGAGCCCGGAAGATCTTGCTTGCAATCTGTCTAATCTGTGCTCTGCACTTTTCTCCGAAAAATCTGGGCTGGAGTGGTTCTCGTGGTCAATTCACTGCCAACTCATTTGAGCGCACTCGCAAAACCATGCACTTTCAAGAAGTCTGAAAAGCCTTTACAGCAAAGGCTGGAGAACGGCGGACTTTTTCAGCATCTTCCCATGTTGCACGATGTCTGTACACTGCCTCCTGGGCGAATGGCGGCGGCCCTTCAGTTGGCAGAGCCAGGGGAAGAGAAGGCCGCTCTACCCATCCCAGTCGGCATCAGCCACCTAGAAGCTCAGATGCCCGCATATGACTCATATTGAACGTGCTTATCATACTAATCCTGCTCATCTTGGTAAAGGCGATACTCTGCACATTCTGAACATTCTGAACATTACATGAGTGCCAAGTTTGACTAGCTGCCGATGCCATTGGCATTCGGTTGGAGCTCCGCGGTGTGGCGGCGGCGTAGCTTTTTTTGATTTAGACGCTGCAGTCGGCCAGTCGGGCAAGAGGCTGTACAGCACCTCCACCGATCCCTCATAGAGCTTGCCTTTTGGTGCGACTAAGGGCCAAAAAACACAGTGCTCCTGTTTACCCAGCACAGCGGTACCAGCAGCATGCAACATGTGCCACGATGGAGTGCCTCTTCTTGCAAAACGGCTCGAGCTGCATGTCTCTTGCAAAGGGGCGAGGCTCTCTGCTCGTCACAGCAGAGGGTCAAATTACCAAAAGCTACACGTAGTGAAGAAATCGAAAACCCTGCTCTGCAATACTTTAAAATATAGAGGCCCGCCCACGCATCGAGCGTGGTGTCTCATAGTGTTCCGGCTGCCTTCTCTCCTGACACCCGCCGCAGTGCGCAGAGTCGCACTGGTAGCGTGAGGCATATCCGGGCCTGGAAAGCTATGTACAAGTCGAGCAGGACAAGCGCCTTGCTGCGTGAGGTAAAGTGTCGTAGCGTGCATGCAGTACTGACATGGTGACGGCTACATTAATAAGTAGTATGATATTAAAATAGAAAAAAAAATATATATATATATATATATATATACATACATATATGGTTCAGCGTCGAGCGTCCTGGGCCCCCCCCCCCCCATGGTATCCCCCCCCCCCCAAGCCTACCCTAAACCCTAAACCCTAAACCCTAAAAACCCTAACCCCTAAACCCTAAACCCTAAACCCTAAACCCAAACCTAAACCTAAACCCTAACCCTAAACCCTAAACCTTAAGTCTTAAACCTTAAACCCTAAACCCTAAAACCCTGAACCCTAAACCCTAACCCTAAAACCAACCCCCAACCACACCACAGGGGGGGGGGGATCATCTTAGTACCCCATCCGCGGGGAAAACCCTAAACCCTAAACCCTAAACCCTAAAACCCTAAAACCCTAAACCCTAAACCCTAAACCCTAAAACCCTAAAACCTAAAACCCTAAAACCCTAAACCCTAAACCCTAAAACCAACCCCAACCACACCACAGGGGGGGGGGGGGGGGGGGGGAGGGGGGAGGGGGGGGGGGCCCGCCGGGGCTGAATCATATATATATATATATGATTGACAAGCACGCTCAGGTCACCTCAAGCCGGCGTCTTGGGCACCTCTCTCACAGCTCGTCCCCCTTGCAAGACAGGAGTCTTTGGCCATACTGCCGTGCATCCAAGCTGCCAATGTCCTAAACCCTAAACCCTAAACCCTAAACCCCAATTCTCTTTAGGCTCCAAGCCATCCGAGCCCTTAGAGCATCCCGCCTTGGCGCGCCGGCTCTGCTCGAGCCGACGATGAATTTTCTCTGCGGTCTTCTGCATGGCCTTGCACGCTCCCCGGCCAAATGCGAGTTACTTCGGTCTCTGGCGAACAATTGTGAGGTTGAACTCGTCAGTTCCAAAGTTGATCAAACATGAGAGTTAAGCTTACAAGCAGCCACCGAGACAGCGATGTCAGTTGCTGACACTACAGTACTCTGCTGTTCCACCATGTTCCACCCTTAGCTTGATTGGCCTTCGTGTTCCGGCTTGACTTCTGCCACTTGTTCCATGATCTGCCCGCGACGTCTGCTGCATCTTCGACATCGCAACCTCGAGCTGCGGTGACATTTCAAGGAACTCTGCCCGAACACCCGAAGCTCCGACCCGCATCCCCCGCAAACTTCCCTCAAGAGCCCTCTCCGATCTGAAACTCCAAAACTCCAAAATCACCAAGTGCCAGAATTAGAAGAGAGGCCCTCGGGCGTGTGGGTGACCCGCACGCGCGGGCGCCGGTGGGCCCAGGGCAGGGTGGCCTGGGATCGGGGCATTGCGGAAATGTCCAGAGACTCAAGGCAAGCTCCCTGTGTCTCAACAATCCATGCCGGAAGTCAACCCCACACCCCTTTGAACTGTGCCGGGGCACGCTTGCCTTGGGAGGCCGCGGTGCTGTACTTGTTCCTGAGTACGACATCTACTGGCGTGTACCAACTGCACACGCAAACACGGCAGTGAACTACTAAAGCGAGAAAGGCTAGCAACTCCCTGTCAGTAGAAATGCTTCAGCAACCGAAGAGATCAGGTCCTTCACTTTCAATATAATCGCAATTGGTAGTAGTTGCTATCATTGTAGTAGTACTGGTAGTGCTGTAGTGAAAGGCAGCAGAGGCAGCGGCTGCAGCAGTGGTAGTAGTAGCAGTGGTAGTAACGGCGGCAGCGACGGTGGCGGGTAGCAACTTTACTTGGCAGCGGTGGCGATGGCAGCAGCATCAGCAAAGCAGCACAGCAGCAACAGCAGCAACAGCAGCAACAGCAGCAGCGCCCGCCGCCGTCGTCGTCGCAACGGCAATTAACAACAGCGCCCAAGAGATGTTATCGTGCAAACTTGAAAATCGCAATGTTGAACAGTAGCAGTTGCCATCATTGCTTACAAGAGGACACAGCACATCGAAGAGTAATAGTAATACCTGCTTTTGCCCTAAGCTCCTGACCCCCCCCCCCGCCTTCGCACCCGCTCACAATACGAACGAAAAACTAGGAAGTACCCCAAACCCAAAAAAACATCAAAAAAACCTTGAACCCCGTTAATAAACCCTAAACCATGCCGAACCCTGAAAAACCCTCCTGCAGCAGCGGCACCGAGGCGCGCCGCCCAGGTTGGCGCTTCCGCTTCGGTCGGCGCCGCCGCGTCCTGGGGCTGGTAGGGTCTGTAGGCCTGGTAGGGCTTACAGTCTTACAGGTTAGGTGGGGTTTTAAGGGCTTGTTGTCGCATCGCGGCAGATGCCGAATCGCAGTGTGTTCTGGGTGCACATTTTTAGGCTTGCGTCGCGAAAACGTGGCAGGGATGCGCGCTCATGCTTTTTGCAGGCAATTGCATGAGTCGGCTTGCGCGTCCGCTCTAAGGGGATTCGCAGTGATGTTGCAAAGCTCTCGGTCCCATGTGCATCCTCGTGAAGTACAGAACTGTCGTCACTTCCGGGCCTCTTGAGGCCATCTTGATTCGCTCTTCGTGTGGTCTTGCACTGCTTGGTCTGTGCCAGCATTATGGGTTTGGGATTGGGGCTTGTTTGTGCACAGCTTTAGGACAGGGTGGGGAATGAAGAAGTTGCCATCTCGAGAAGGTGAAGTTCGCACTATGGAGCCTGAGGCCAACGTCTCCAGAGGTGAAGAAGTGGGCTCAGCGCAGACCTCTGTCCTCGACATCAGCAACGTCGACCCAGGAGCAGAGCGTCAAGTCGCTGGCCTCTGCACAGGCCATTGGGGGGAGGTTGCTGGGGGAGGTTGTTGCGGGAGGTTATGGCGTGGCACAGAGGAGCTGGAAATGCCGTGCCAGGGCCCCGGCCATACTCATCGTCTCAAGAGCATCCATGGCTGCTTGCAGATTTTTTCCTGCAGCTTTACCGACATCTGCTACAGGGCAAGGGCAAGAACGGAAATCTGCCACTGAATCGGACCCCGAAAGTGACCAAGGACCAAAGCTGCTCGGCGGCCTTGCAGGGCAGGCCACTCCTCCTTCTTTTCCTCAACAGCCACGCGTTTGGTCTCGGAATTTGTTTGGGGTCAAAGTGCATGCCGTCCTCCTCTGCGCTTTCCGGCGACACGAAGTCCCAGCCACTCTCATCAAAGTCGTCCTAGCTCTCTCCAAATCTTCAAAAGGTTTCCAGACTTCGCATGAACAACTTTGGATGGACCAGACATTCGATGCGTCCTATCATGTCCTATCCTATTTATTGCGTAGCTCTGGGGCGCAGCAAGTCAGTCGGGTGCCTCCTCTTCTGGTTCAGGGGATGCCGTGGTCTCGTCAGAGACCTCGGGGTCGTGCTCGGACTCGTACCAGAACTCGTGTTCCTGGGCTCAGAAACCGTCGGGAGTTCATGGGCGGCGACTCAATCCGGAAGGATTGCAACTGTTCCCTCTTGCTTGCCCAAGGCTCGTCAATGCTACTGAGATGAACTCCGCTTTCCAGATCCAGCGACTGCCTTCAGCGCACGCAAAGCACTTCACCTCCAACTAACCTTTTTTCAAAGCCGTGTAAACGTCAAAACCCAGAACCGATGGCAAAGAGCACCGAGCTCCCCCGACCCCTCCCGAAAGAAAGAACTAAAAACAAGAAAAGACTCGAATTCCCACACCTCACTACATCCGGTCAGCACCCAACCAGTCATCGACTGGTCGGCTCAGGCAGGCACTTCCCAGGATGCTTCTGCACCTTCTGAGCACAACGCCACAAGGTTTGGAGTTTCGGGTTTTTCAGGCTTAGGGTTTAGCTCGGGTTTAGATATGCACGAAAGGAATGCCTAAAGCGCCGTTCTCAAGAAGTAGGTGCACATTGCTACGGCAACGTAGCCTACTGTATGTACCATCCATGGATTCCAACGCTGCCCAAGAACACCCGAACACCCGAACACCCTACAACAACCCTAGAAGAACTGCAGGCACCCAGGAAAGAGAATGAAAATGCCTCTTCAAATACATTGTCAGTACATGTTTTAAAGCATTTGAATTTATGGACAAGTATGTTTTTTGCACTGATTATTTACATGCTCTTTGGATGCATTCCTGCCACGCGAGGTTGTACATCATACGAAAGAGAAACAGCTTAGATTTGTACGAAGGGCTAATCACCAAAAACCGCAGTACAAACCCTTACAGAAATAGATATAGACATGTACACATACGTGTGTCTGTATGACCCCAAAGCCCCTGTCAGGACAAAAAAACTCCCACAGCGCATGGAGCCGACCTTGGTGCCGCCCATGGGGCGGTGCGATGAGCGCCTGCAGCGCTTGTCGAAGGCGACCTGGTCAGCTTTTGCTGCTCTTGCCACAGCTTAGGGTTTAGGGTTTAGGATTTAGGGTTTAGGGGTTAAGGATTAGGGTTTAGGGTCACAAAAAGGGTTTGGCCATGGCTTCATGGGGAGGTTGGTTGAGGGGCTCAGGGAGCATTCACACGCCACTTGCCTCCGGAATGTCCATCCCGCATGCGTAGCTGTTGCTGTGCCTGCAACTCCAGAAGGTCGGTAAGCATCTCTTGAACGATCTTGAACTTGCATGCGGTCACATATGACCATGCTTGCCTCGGCATTTCAGGAATCCTCGACCGCACCAACCGGGACAAGCTGAAAGGCTTGGATTGTGACTCGAGCCGAAGTGGCTGGCATGTGATGCTGAGGCTCAAGCAGCTGTCTTGCATCTGACTTTGCGAGTAGCAGAATTGTCGCTCTGGCTGCTTGCAGCTATGGTGCCACTGGCTGCCATGGTGGGGAGCCAAACCTCACAGGAACCAAGTCTTCTTATCTGCTGCACTCCGACTTCCAACTTCCACCCTGGGTCTCTAGCGCCACAGGTGGTGTGGCCACGCCCGGTGCGGCCTTTGGCGGCGCCTGGTCAAACCGGCGCACGTCCAGGAAACTCGACGCACGTGGCGAGTGGTGCCTGCACCTGCACCGGCGCTGCAGGTTTCGCAGGCGGCGCAGCCTGGTGTGAAGAGTAGACTCCATGAAAGGATGCCGCAGCTCCCCGATAGGGATTATCATCCAGAAAACCAGTTCGGCCTTCTCGGGAAAGGGCACGCGCTCCACTGCCTCACGTGTCACATGCACGTGGACCACGTAGTTTTCGCACGTCTGACGCGGGGAAGGCGCACTCTGCGAGGCTGCGCACAAGTACGCATAGTCACGCACAGCTTCTTTGCGAGCCTGGGGTGCAGCTGGAACCGGCGTTGGTGCGGCCTGTCGAGCCCAGGTGTTCTGTGAGAGCAGATTGTGGGCCTTCCAGACTGGAATGCCTCCTTCGCCTTGTTCTTCGCCAAGGGCAACTTGGAGGCATAGGCCATGCGGCTCAAGTGCATTGAGGCTATGACCTTGTCCTGGCAACCACAAAAACCCAAAAAACTAAAGTGTCTGCTTTGTGGCATGAGACTGAAACAGTAGGGCCACGCATGTGCAAGCTCAGTCAGCGGGACGTCCACATCCTTGATGCCGTTCTGAGCCGAACTGATCCACCTTCGGGCCACTCGCTCTCTCTCTCTCTCTCTCTCTGAACATCAGACAAATCTAGACAAATATCGAAGCTTAGAAGCAATCAGCCCCAACGACCCTCAATCAACCTCCCCAAGAGCGCCCCCCCCCCGCCCCCCCTGGGGATCAGCATGCACAGCGAAGGCGTGTAAAGGCCACCCTGGGGCTCCCCACGCCGCCATAATGGAGGTGCCCTTGTCCGTGGCTTCGATGTCATACTTCGGAAGGATCTGTCGTGCCCGGGAAACTACGAGGCTCCCTCTCTTGGCTGTGGCTGTGAGTCTGCTGTGGTGAGCTAACACACGCTTACATGGGGGGTTTCCGAAAATAGGGGTACCCTTTTGGGGGTTCTTATAGTAAGGACTATATTATTTTGGGGTATATTAAGGGTAGCCCTATGAGGGGAAACACCCACATCGACGTTGCGGTGCGTTCTCATGAGGTGCACGTCCACCTCAAACTGGATGTTTCGGGTCTCTTTCCTCGGATACACCGAACTGTTCGGCAGTCAGTGGAGAGAGGCATCTACACTTCAGCACAGTTCGCAAACGAACTGCTAGCTTGAGCTGAAGATCAACAAACTCCGGCGATCCTCACAACTTTCAGCCGCCTTCTGGTACCTGACAGAGTGCAAGATGTCCAAGCACGCAAGGCTGGACAACGCTTGGTCATGCTAGATATTCGTCTAGACGGATTGAAACTCAAGACTTCACAAGTCTTTTGCGCATTAAACACACTGGAACTGTGTAAACATGTGCAAGCCCATTTTGGCCCGCAGGTGAAACACATCGCAGCTCTCATTGACTCCAGACCCGACCCGAAAAGATCCGGCGGCGAAGGGCCTGCAAGAGGGAGTGTCACGTCCGGTGTCTCAGTGTACATGATCCTATCGTTCCATGATGTTCCATGTATGCGAAAAATTGCGAAAATTATGAGTATGCTCCCTTGCCTCGTAGCTCTCTTTGGCCTCGGTCCGCGGCGCGCGCTGCAGCCGGACCGATGGCTTGAGCGGGTCCTGAGACAGAGCGCAGGCTGCGAAGACACAACCCTAAACCCAAAACCCTAAACCCAAAACCCTAAACCCCAAAACCCTGCTTCTCCCGGATTCTCGCAAGGGTGCCGCGATGCTCGCTCCTCCAGGTCGACGCTTTCGGTGTGACTGCGCAGGCATTCCTTCCATGCCTCACGGCCTGACATGAGCTGGGACTCAGAGCACGCGGAGAGTTTCTAAAGGGCTTTGTGCATAGATGTGCTGGCCATTGTAGCAGCATGTCTCAGAATCGTGTGGTCTCCGCACCAGCTGAAGCCCTGAAACCTGCACACCCGGCCTGGTACAGGAAGGGCAGGTTTGGGTGGCGACCACACAACATCCACTGGCCACCTGAGTGTAAACATTTCTTCCAGCCTGTCTGTGCACTTTATGTGGCTGATGCTCTGATGTCTGACATGAGCACCACTGCATCTTAGCTCCCAACTGAGGGCAGGAGTCCGAATCGCTGGGAGCCCGCGAGCTCGCCTGCTGCCGGAGATAGTCAGAAGAAAGACTTTGTCTTCTTGGGCCTTGCCTCTGACTCTCTCTGTGTGAACACCAGCCGCAGAGCAGTTTCGCGCGCCGCTCACAGAGGCTAAGCTGTCACACAGGGTTTTCACTCCGCGCCTGCAGCTTCGGAGCTCTCGGGGCCTCGGACGGCCCCCAGAGGAGCGGTGGCGAAGGGCCCCACCACGAGGCACCTGGCTGCAAATCTGGGCGTTGGGCTGTGAGCTTGTGGACTTTGGGGCGTCAGGGTGTGGAAACAATGAGGGCAAGCGATGTGGACCAGTGGACAGAGCGGCAACAAAAGCTCAGCTCAGATTGATGAGTGACTATGACTATGAGCAACGGAAGACCTTCCAGAAACAGCATTCGATGCTCCAGCTACTTTTTATCGGCCGTTCGAAATGTGCAGAGTTCAACACACGACCCATCCAGCCTGACTCGCCATCGAAGGCTGCCAGGGCCTGCGGGACGAAGACTCTCAGAACCCTGACATGCACGTCTAACCAAGAGATACCACTGCATAGTCAACCCATGCAATCTGCAGGACTGCTCGTGCTTGTTCAATGCTCAGCTGAGGGCTCAAAACTGATCTGGCACAGGAAGCCAGACAAGGGAAACTGTTGCCTGCTCCAGCAGCCGTAGATGCTCCGGCACTTCTGGCGTTGCCTAAAGCCGCACCGATATCGTGTCCATTGATAGCAATGACTACACGTAAGAAGGCCGAATGCTCAGCAGGTACGAACGACAGGTCACACACAGCAAGTGCCTCTGGGGGAGGCGGCAGACAAGCAGAAGAGGACCCGGCCTGCCCACAAAGCATGAAACTCGGAGGGTGTGCAAGCATGGAGTCTCGCAGTTGCCACCTCACCTCCTTCAGTTGAGGTGCCAACTCGCGCAGAGCGAAAAACATCCACGCTAGAAGTCCGCCTCCGTCTCCGCGCGGACTCGCAGTGAACGTCGCGGGTCCAACCCCTTCCCCTAAGGCGAGCGCAGCGGTGCCAGAATCATTGACATGATTTGATGTGCAGCTTGACTCGTCTGCCTTGCACTTCTCAGAGTCGATCTCTGATGCTACCTGGCACAGCCTTAGTCTGCAGAATGAAGGAGGCACGGAGGCACCACGTCGCATGGTCCAACCTGACTCAAACTGTTTGCGCCACGCTTCCTGAAGTCCGAGGCCGTTGCATCAGCGTCACGTTGGCAGGCCTCTCACCAAGCTGCACGAGAACCTGCAAACAAGTTCACGGAGGAAAAATGACGAAGCTCTTGCCACTCTGCCGGGATCTTGCAGGCTAAAAACCCCTGGCTGTCCCGTTAGCAGGCTTCAGGCGCGGACGCGTTGCCCTGTTGACACCACGTAGCGCCAGCGCTGCCAGCCCTGCACAGATGATGTGTGAAGTGACTTTCACATCCTTTCACACTGGTTCTGAGCCTTCCGCATGACCTCCGCCGCGGACATTCCCCGTAAGCCCTGTCTCCTGCACGATGCACAGATTGCACAGCAAAGCAAAGCAGCTGATGGGCCCTGGAAGCATAATGAAGCAGACGGAGTCCTCTGAGGTTTTGCACGCTTGGAGCCCTTGGCGCTTTGACGCCTTGGAGCAGCCTCGGCTCTTTCGGCCTTGGCTTCGATGTCAGGGAGTCAGAGACACTGTGTGATGCCGTGCGCCTCCTCGCCCGCGGCACGCCGGAAGCCATCAACGGCCTCTCGAAAATTCTGGGGCGAATTCTTCGATTCTCTGAGATCATAAAAGGAAGATACCAATGGAAATCCAAGCGGAGCGCCGGGTAGAACCTATAAAGCTGCAAATCGGCGTGGCCTTTCTTTGCAGCGTTGCAACGTAGTGGCGGAAGGCCTGGAGTCAAACCCCATGACTAGCTTTGGGGGGGGGGGCAGGGCTTATTGTCCACCTCTTGGGGTTGCTCGAACGCCTGTTGGCGTTCGAGCGGAAGCGTCGGGATGCTGACTTCGCACGCAGAGCTGACACGCAGTTATTCGACAGTTCAACAGAGTAGAAAGATGCTTGAATGATCATGTGCGGACAAGTACTAGTAGAAACAGCACACACACACACACACATATATATATATATATATATATACACATACACATCATGCTTCGAAACTTCCCCCTTTGACAAGGTCGTGAATGCCTTGAGGCCCTCGCGATCATGTTTTGGGCACGCTGGCGCAAGAGGACCTCAGGGGAGTGGGATCAAATCCCAAAGATGGACTTGCTGCACAGTCGTAATTTACCACCCGCTCAAAGTATCAGCCAATAGCTACAACACAAGTCCGAACCTTTGTGTTAGGAAGGACTATGCCACGCCAGTGAATCCGAAGCATGGCAAAGCCGTACAACCAAAATGCACTAGAACTCTCGTACGAGTGCAGAGACATGCAGAAACGAGTCCGTCTGACAATTGGCCACGGGAAATGAGGTGTGTAAGCTCCCCAGCGAGGAGCGCAGCTTTCCGCCGCTGTTCGGCAAGCTCCTTTGGCACCACCGGGCCGGACTTCATATCTCGAAATCCCGCTCGTGTTATGGCTTTGTGGAGCCGACGGATGTCGCAAGAAAAAAACACATGCACAACCAAGGATATGGTTCACACCCAGTTTTCCATCACAACCACACACATTGTCACAAAGGCAAGGCCGTCCTCGAAGTCCAAGTCCATCCGGACAGCACGCCACCATCGAAGGAATCCCTCCTGGTTAAATCACAAATCACAACAAAGGGTGCTGTAACCAGCTTTCGTACAAACACCTGCGTTGAATCCCACCACGTAGATTGCTCTGCTTTGAAACGTGGCTTAAGTTCGGCGTGTACGTATGTGTGTGTAGATATGTGTGTGTATATGCATATTTTTAGATATATACATACATGTATACATATGTATTTCTGTACATGTGTGTGTACATATATACACGTACAGCCGTTTATCTGCGTGTGTGTGTGTGTGTGTGTGACAAGCATTACAGACGATCGCAAACCTGCTTCGAAGCTTGCACTCCCAGGGCCTGGGACATTGGGCACTCCAAAGCATGCGCGCACGGGACCGAGGCGGGCGGGCCATTCGCAACAGAACGAAAAGAACACGAAGCGAACCGTTTTCGCGACACTGTGGCAAGCCTCAAGTGCACGGAACCAAGGCGGCATCGCGATTTGGACCACGGAACGTCCACAGGATATGAGAACACCACTGGTCATGTCGGACATAGCCATAGTCGCGACTCACCTGTCGCCACGCCCACCTCTAGGCGAGAGCGCGATGTGGACCCGGTCGAACAGGCCCTCCTTGCTCAACTTTTGAAGCTCCCCTGTTCATGAGAAATATACGGCGCCTGACAGAGTGCAGGGAAAAAGCTCAAGTCCTGCTGAACTCGTAGCAGCATGCTCCGTTGTTGGCGTGCCCCTGGCACGGGTGCCTGCGCACCCGGAAGGGAGCCCAGAAAAGTAGCTGCAGAGTATTGCGGAGAACCGCATCGGATACGTTCGTAATGCACACGTCAGGAATAAGTTGACAACCCCATCAACCGCCTGTCTGGAAACCATCTCCGGCCTCAGCAAAGCGCATTTCCGAATCCAAGATCTGTCTGGCAGAACATCTCATGCAGAACAAACCCCAGTTTGCAATAGTCAACGGGCAAGGCCTACGGCTTTCCAACCCAGCCGAAACTCGATTCCAGAGACGTCTTCAGGTTGCGGAAACCTTGAAATATTCCGACCAAACTGGCTTGTCCGAGCTGCGGAGGCGGCAAGGCAACCGGCCGTGGCACCTGTCCAGAAGCTGTCCTACTCACATCTTCTCAACGGCCGGGAACCCCACCTGCACCTCTCCTGGGTCACTCGGCCCGGAGAGCACAAAGGGCGAGCCCTCAGCTCCCTGCACGATGGGTTCCACAACTTTCTGTCCGCAGAAAAAAAAAAGCCTTATGTGCCAAATCAAACATCTCCCCTGCCTGCCCGTGGGAGATCAAAGTGGGGTCAGACAGCACGTAGGGCGCGTGAGGTAGGCGCTCTGCCTTCATCCAGGAGCTGGGGCAAGGAAGGTGCTTGTACTTGTGTTTTTGGTGCGTTTGGTGCGTGCGCATCGACACATCACCATGATGCAGCGCAATCCGCGAGCACCGATTCAGCGGCCTTGAGTTCTGGATGCGGCCAGGTTGAAAACTTCCTGGGCCCACTTGTGCGTGGATGTCCGTGGCGCATCACCAGATACACGCAACTTTGAGAGAGAGAAGGCCAGCGGAAGCATGAGACGGATCTAAGTCAACACAAAGGTGGCCTCGGCTCCACCCGTAGAGAGTATCTCCAGCAGGCAATGGCCTCTAGACTCTACGCCCGAAGCCCTTCCAGAAACCAGAGGAAGCTGGGTGGCATGGACTCCCGTTTTTTAGCGTCGAATGCTTGACTGTGACAAGTCTACATGCCATAAGCCCCGGACTGATCGAAGAATAACCTCCACACACGGACAAAGAGAGGGCGAAAGAGCGAATGGCATTCGATACGTTCGGCAAGCATGCAGAAGTGAAGATCAGGCTCGATCTGGGGGGACTGTGTTGTGCATCGGAGCAAAATGCAAACTCGCCTGTCCTTGCCTGCTCCCCAACCCTTCCCCATACCCAAACCTACCAATTTGACTTGGGGGAGCTGTCCCCCAGAGGGGCAAAAAAAGCGGGTTGTTTAAAAAAGAACCTGGACCGCGGGACTCCCTAGGACCCCCCTGGCAACCACGAGGACTGGCCAATCCAGCCAGATCGCTGGCACGGCCATTTGTGCAGCTGCACTGTTCGCGTCCATAAGCGACCGCTGGGAGGTTCTGTTACTGGGAGAGAGGATCTTCTTGTTTGCTGCCTTCTTCACGTATTGGCAGCTCCCACCTGCCCACTGCCGAGGCGCTGGCAAGCACTTGCAGTTAGTTCAAATAAATCTCGACTGAGTGGTGCTTTAAAGCTCTCATTTATGAATCCCAAAGCACTACCCAGTTGCGAATTACTGGGCGCTTTGAGATGGGGTCCAGACTTGCTCCCCACCCTCGACGTGGGCATTTTTGTCGAATTGGGAAACATGCTCTCCTTGTCCTGTCCGTGTTATTCCAGGTCCCCCTCCTCTGGTGCCCCATTCCTGGCCACTACCCTCAGTGATGGAAGCAAGAAGTAGCGGGGGACTCGCGAAAGGTCCGAAAAGGTTAAAGATGCCCGTTGAGATTGAGAGCAGCTTCCCGGTGCATCTCATCTTACGCCATCAAAGGGTAACCATCTCCCTCCATGTTTATCTGACGTGTGGCAAGGCAAGTGGGAGATGATCGGGAGATGCTGAAAGCAGTACACAAGCATGGAGTGCGGCCCGCCGCCTTTGCGCACCAACACTCCGCCAGGCACAGCTGCGTGCGCCCGTGTATGATCTGCCATCAGCTCAGGACGCAGCTTTCGGCACATGTCAGCACAGCATGCAGCTTGGGCCTGCAGAAGCGCAGCCCGTGCAGCATTCCCCCGGCGAAGGAGAACCGGCTGTTGCAACCTCGGCGGAGGCAAACTGGGCAGTACTTCCGCCACGCAGGGCATCATGAATCATGCAGCCGAGTTGCTGCACGAAGGCACGACGCAAGGGAGCCTCTGCTGCCCGGACCTGATGAGCTGCGTTGCAAGAAGAAGTCGGTACTCGGATCAAGGTGGGCAACGTGATGCAACGTGCTGGAGCTGCCAGGGTCACCACCAGGCGCGCGAGCGCTCGGCTGCGGAAGCCACTGCGCCGTCGCCAGCAGCGGAGTGCCAAGCAAAGCCTCCCACACAGCAGGCAAATATACTCACACTGACGGAGCCTCATGGAACATGACACCTGTTGTGCAGGACTCGTGTGTTGCCTTTGGCGGTGCTCGTTGTGCCGCTTGGGCCGTTTTCGCAACGCCTGCTGTGACGACCAGACCAATCGGACTCGACTAGAAACATCTAGAAAACAGTTACCAGTTATTGCTAGGCATCACTCAGCATCACATCAGAACTCCCTTTTTTTCAGCACCCTGCTCAGAGCCAAGGGCCATAGCACATCGAAGCACATCATGGAAAACCTTCACGCTCTCTCTTCTCCGGGCGTCTGCTGAGCCTCCTTTCGCCAGGCGAGGAAGAGTGAGGCGACGAGCCGCAGCGACCGAAAACGCCTGGCCCGAGGGATTCAAAGGCAACATGGTCGACACATGTTCAGGGCATCGATGTCATGCGGCTGTTTCATACGGAGGCGTTTGGTCAGTAGATCGTAGCCCTTTCAAGGGGCAGAAGGGGTCCCCGAGATCTAGATCAACTGATCAACCATGATCAACCCCTTCATAAGAAAATCCCTTCGATTCGGCGCCTGGCCAGATCTGAGAGCGCGCAAGGCCTCTCGGGCCTCAATTTGCCATGCTCTCGGGGGGTTAGGGGGGGGGGGGGGTTTTGAGGGCTGGGTTTGAGAGGTCTTAGTTGGGTTGTTCCAAACTTAAGATGTTTTCAGATATGCTTTTCGTATGGAGATCTTTCTGGATCTTGCCGAGACTCCGCTCAGTCCCGTGCGGTGTCGCCGACATGCCCTGGATCTTCGCGTCTGGACATGCCTTTTGACGTGTTAGGGCTTTGGGGCTAGCTCCTACCAACGCTGATAAAAAAAAAAAAAAAAAAAAAAAAAAAACATAGGAAGGATCCTCAAAGATGCCAACGATGTCCCCAAGCCTTGCCCGGCGTCGCAGTGGTTGTACCAAGGGATACCTGAAAGTCTGCGGCCCAGGTGGTGCAGCAACGCAGCGTACCGGCACAAACTCACAGCCAGGCGAGCTCTCTCTTACTGCATCCTTTTTCTTGGCCCCAAACTGCATCAGGAGAGCGGCACGAATCAATGCTCAAAAAGCTGAACCCTAAACCCTAAACCCTAAACCCTATTGAAAACAATGTGACCACCCTGACCCAAGCGACTAAATCAGAAACATCGAAGGCAAGTCACAGCTGAGCGCCAGGAGGCATCGGCGCCGGAGGAAGCCTTGCTCTTTGCGCCCTCACCCAACCAGGGTTTAGGGTTTAGGGTTTAGGGTTTAGGGTTTAGGGTTTAGGGTTTAGGGTTTAGGGTTTAGGGTTTAGGGTTTAGGGTTTAGGGTTTAGGGTTTAGGGTTTAGGGTTTAGGGTTTAGGGTTTAGGGTTTAGGGTTCGAAACGCAATCGCAGCTCTTTCTTGCCGTTCCGCTCCTTTCGTGATGGACTTTTCTGTTCTGGCTTTCCCCATCGACGCACAGCGTTGACGATTGCAATCGGGCTCTTTGGAGGGAGTTCCATCTTAGGCAGTAGTGGACTGCCAAGCGGCGAAGGACAGTGGAGGCGGCCAGGGCAGCTCCGAGCCAACTGGGCAGCAAGCAGCAACAGCTCTTGTCATAATTGGACATTCTTATCAAGCTGCTTCTTGACTGAAAATGAGTATCTGTACCCGCATCGAGAGATTGCCACCTGAAAGGCTGCGGGCGGTCCAGTCCACAGCCATGCACGCGCCGACCTGAGCCATCGAAGGCGTTCGAACTAATACAGTGTGCGTGAACAAAACGCCTGCCAACTGTGTAACGCAACATCGCACTTAGATTCCCAAACGCTTCGCGCAAGCTGCTGGGCTGGCAAACCATCACCAAAACACAAGACAGGGGCCAACCCAGACGCATACAGACTCCCCGAAAGTCGGCTCACCCCCTCGGGCCTCATAGGATCGTCATCAGCACTGCTCGCATCGGATACCATCTAGCTTCCGCTCTCAAGCAAGTCGTTCGGATTCTAATTTTTGTCTGTCGCTGATACGGTTTCTTTAGTTGCTCTTGATGGTGCCGTCGCTTCACTCTCTGACAGACCAGAATCATGACAATGCTTCCAGGGCCAAGGCTGCGAAGACAAGTTGCAACATTGGCTCGGGGGTGAAGGGCTGAGGGGGGGTGGGGGATGGGGCCAGCCAACCGGCCAGAAGCCTTGAAGCAACAACAGATCCCCAACTAGAACTAACACCCTGCAAAGACTGGCAACGACATGGCTCACTCCGGCTGGCTGAAGGCAGTGTTGACCTCGTCCAGGAGCTTGCAAACCTGCAGAATGGAGTTGTGCCGATGGCGTGTTGAGCGTGTTGCGGAAGACAGCTGCAGGCGAGCGTTCTTTCGTCATCGCGGCTCTTAAAAAGAATTGAATCGATACTGACGTTCGCTGCATGTCAGAAGCACTGTACACAGTGACCATTCGACCCTCAGCCGATGGGCACCCAAACAGCTGCTTTTGGGCACCCGAAGGGTCACTGAGTCTTCCGTCACACTCGGGTGTGGTCTGTTACCACCCACTGAGGCTCCCCCCTCCCCGCTCTTGTGGCGAAGCTTTCGGGGCGTTTTGGTACTCTGTAAGAGCTCTTGGGCATAAGAGCCAATGAGGATCGGAACCCAACACGCGCTTGCTGGGAACGACTCAATGCATGGATGGGACATCGTCGTAACTCTGTGCTCCAAAAGAGCGATCCCATCCAAGCCCAGGCATTGGCACTGCGTCAATGTCTGCGTCAATGTCTGCTGGAGCGACCCAGGACAACAGCCACTACTGTTGCAGCAATAGCTCCAGCAGCGGCGACGCCCAAAGCTGCACCTGCTGCAAAGTCGGAGAGCCTCAGGCGGCATGGAGCTCGAGAAAAAAGATGCTCTGGCACAAGGAATCGAGGTTTCAAGGCACAGCGACATACAAAGTAGGCCTAAGATGGCCTGAGGTGGGCGCACGGGCTTGGGCTTCAAGTACGGCGGCAGCTGCACACGAACCTGGCAGGTAACCCACAGCATCAGGCTCAGGGAGTTGCAACTCTTGATGAAGCTCCAAAGGCTTGTAACCCCCCAAGTGCCTGGTCTCCCTTCTTTTCCTGCCCCCAGCCCCCGAAGGTCACGAACTCCTCGGCGATGGTCGGGTGAATGGCGACCGAGGCCTCTCCAAGAATCAAACTTCAGACGAAGCCGCATACATCCGAAAGAACTCGGGGACTTCAAGGTCCAGGCTTAGCGTGGCGAAGCACACTATGCCAAGGAAAGACCGCCCAGACCATTCTATGAAGACATAAAATCTAAATGAGTGTCAGATATATAATATGTACATATATATATATATATATACATACGTATATATATATATATATAATGTATATGTAGGTAGCTCCACGTGCCGATAGGTGTGGCACCAAGGAGCCTCGAAGTCTGCGCGAGTCGCGCCCATCCGGACGGCCACAGCAAAGCCCTGCATCATCTCGTCCTTGCGAGTTTCACCCTAAACCCTAAACCCCAATCCTAAACCCTAAACCCGAAACCCTAAACCCTAAACCCCAGACCCTAAACCCTAAACCCATTGCAGAACTCGAACTCCTAGAATTGTTCGCGAGGTCTTCGAGCTCTCGAGTGGCCTTCAGCCTACCCCGACAAGCAGCAAAGTCAACTTGGTGGCAGAGGCCGCCGAGCGTCGGAACAAGGGCCGATGCAGTGCAGACCAACCACGCGTTCCTGGGCTATTTTTTTGAAATGAGGAGGATGAAGCCACAAACGTACAACAAGAGACTCTGGAACCGAGCCGAGCTCCGCAATTGCAAGCTACTACATCTCTGTCACCATATGTCACCATGCTTTCCATGCTTACCATGCTTCTTCCGGCAGCTTTAAGACGAGCTTGAGGCCGGTCTTGACCTGCTAGAAGAGCATGCGGGGCTGCATGCCTTCTGTGCACTTCCACACGGCAGTTTTAGCCACTGGACCTTCTTGTCGTCGTCATTGAATGCGTACCTAGGCACATTCAACGCATGCAAGTGAAACACATGCAGGAGGACAAGAAATCCTGCTCTCCAAGCCCAGTGACAGCATGCTCGCGAAGCTGGCTTGCTTGGTCACCACATTGCCCTTTGCGCAAGTTGGGGGCTTCAGGAGCTCGGTCTCAGCAGAAGGCTCCACGTAAGGTACTTCGTATGCAGATGCAAGCAAAAGTGGCCTCGCCAAACTCTTCTTTCGCCTGCGGCTCCGTGAGACCGATGCAGCCAATGGGAGGATGGCTGAAGACCACCTCCGGTGGACCGGATCCCAGCTGCTTCTCAACTTCAGATAAAAACTTCTTGCGACTTTGTGCTCTGCCTCCTTTTCCGCCAAGTGGCTGTCGCGATCTGCTCGTAGGCGATCCGGGCCCGACCTCAAACTTTAACCGCACCCACAAAGTCCCACAAAGCCCCCTGCCAGCACCCCTCATCTCCGGCCTTCACCCAGGAAGAGGCGATCTGCCAAGCGCCGGCCTGCAGCAATGGCCACTGGCGTCAGCTCGTAGCCAGTGCTTGTGGCCTTGTTCCGTCTTGCTAGAACCATTGTTTGCGAGGGAATCTCGCTAAAAAGCGTATCAACATCGTCAAGAGCTAGGCGGGGGAGCTGTCGAAAGCTTTGGGACTCCGCAGCACCCTTTTATCTATGCTCATTCCAAGCCACATCTCCGATGGCGTAAACTCCTGCAGAATCGCGGCACTGTCGGCTAGCGCGCATGTACGAACCTCTTTAACCCAATGGCCATGGCTTGTCCTGCTACATTCGTATTCTCGAAAGAATCCACGACGATGTGACCTCAACTTCTCGGGATCCATGGCCATCTCTTGTCATCTCTTGAAAGCACAATATGGTGCAAAGACAAGGCCTGATTTGTTGGTGAGCACTCCGCACTTGTTCAAATCCAGCTGGTCCTGAGATCAGGCAGTGTTTTATGCTTGGCATTTGAAGACTGTTGCATGTTGCTCTGAAATTACCTTGCCCCAGCTGCCCAACACCCCCCAACCACACAGCTTCAAAGCGTCCGTCACGGGCTTTCGCCCAATTGCCAGGAGGATGCAGTCCTGAGTCACAGGATGTCACAGGTGGTTCCTGGTGCGGCTGCTTTCATCAGTCTTCTATCCGCCCTCGGTCCTAGAATTTTGAGGACGGGTCGAAGTCTGTATAGACCTTCTCCACTCCATTTGGGCCCTCGTTTGTGGTGTAGGTGAGCAGCCCATTGCTTTGCTTTGTGATGGCGACAGGCTGGCTGTTGCCTGGGCCAACAACATGCAACTTTTCCCAACAGTTTGGGGATGTATTGGCCTTCTAAGACGGACAGGAGCAAGTCCAGTTTAAGCCACATGGCCGTGCAAAACCGGGCCGTGATGTTGCATGGCCTCCACAGACGCACATAAACCCAACACGTCTCTAGCACATGCACAGCACATGACGGCCTCCATCAAATGCTTCACGATAAAGGGGTCGAATCCGCGCCGTAGCACGGTGTCGCCACCTCGGCATGATAGCTGCACATGCAGTGCAAGCACAGGCGCACTTCCAGTCAACAGAGAAAAGCCAGAGCCGACCGAAGCATCGGTCGCACTCGTCGTGACAAGTCCATGCGCAGCATCCATGCATGGTGCCCAAAGCACCTTCCTGCCCGGCTTGCTCCCCAACAGGCGCGTTAGCCCATCGCCCTGCTGTCATTCGCCAAACTCACCCATGGCGTGTTGGCCCCAAGGAGCATGGGGAATACCCAGTGGATGGGGTGATGCTACCTCCTTCTGGGTAGGGCGGAGACCAAAACGAATAAGCAACCCGCTGTCGAGCTATTGCGGAATGACTCGGAATGCTTCTGGCATGCCAACCACATCCTGTCAAGCTCAACTTGAACTAATGTCGATTCTGCACACAAGGTCCCAAACAGAATGCATACGGCCTCCCCTGTCAACAGCCTGCATCCTCCTGTCGTAGCCAGGATGCGAGACTTACCATGCATGGTGCCCAAAGCACCTTCCTGGCCGGCTTGCCCCCCAACAGGCGCGTTAGCCCATCGCCCTGTTGTCATTCGCCAAACTCACCCATGGCGTGTTGGCCCCAAGGAGCATGGGGAATACCCATTGCAAGCTGCGCCCCACACCGGGCCAATGGTGTGGAAGGAGTGCGTGGATGGGGTGATGCTATCTCCTTCTGGGTAGGGCGGAGACCAAAACGAATAAGCAACCAGCTGTCGAGCTATCGCGAAACGACTCGGAACGCTTCTGGCATGCCAACCACATCCTGTCAAGCTCAACTTGAACTAATGTCGATTCTGCACCTGCAAACAAGGTCCCAAACAGAATGCATACGGCCTCCCCTGTCACAGCATGCATCCTCCTGTCGTAGCCAGGATGCGAGACTTACCATGCATGGTGCCCAAAGCACCTTCCTGGCCGGCTTGCCCCCCAACAGGCGCGTTAGCCCATCGCCCTGTTGTCATTCGCCAAACTCACCCATGGCGTGTTGGCCCCAAGGAGCATGGGGAATACCCATTGCAAGCTGCGCCCCACACCGGGCCAATGGTGTGGAAGGAGTGCGTGGATGGGGTGATGCTATCTCCTTCTGGGTAGGGCGGAGACCAAAACGAATAAGCAACCAGCTGTCGAGCTATCGCGAAACGACTCGGAAGGCTTCTGGCATGCCAACCACATCCTGTCAAGCTCAACTTGAACTAATGTCGATTCTGCACCTGCAAACAAGGTCCCAAACAGAATGCTTACGGCCTCCCCTGTCACAGCATGCATCCTCCTGTCGTAGCCAGGATGCGAGACTTACCGTGCATGGTGCCCAGAGCACCTTCCTGGCCGGCTTGCTCCCCAACAGGCGCGTTAGCCCATCGCCCGGTTGTCATTCGCCAAACTCACCCATGGCGCGTTGGCCCCAAGGAGCATGGGGAATACCCATTGCAAGCTGCGCCCCACACCGGGCCAATGGTGTGGAAGGAGTGCGTGGATGGGGTGATGCTATCTCCTTCCGGGTAGGGCGGAGACCAAAACGAATTGAAGCAAGAAGCTTTCGAACCACTCGGAACGCTGATGGCATCCTCGAAGATCGATCAGATCGGTACAAGCGCAACGTTCAAACAACACAGGGTTTTGTCAGCCGCTCATATATTAATTCATATAATATAATATTATATAAATATATATATATATATAAGTATAGAAGTGTATGCATATACGATATTGATGCAAAAATTGTGTACATGTTTTTGTTTGCACCTATCATAAGGATGATCGCTTCTTCTTCTT